TTCATTTCTCACAAACTAATATAGATTTGTAACTTATCTATAAAATGTCAACAACTTTTATCTACACAATGTAATGTATTGAAATATATAGTTACATTAATAAAAATAAATTATTATCTAATTATGTTTTGGTCCATAACTCTGGACTTAATCACCAGATCGGAACAAAATTCGAACTTGATCTATAACTTTTCATGATAAAACTATATACCAAATATCAAATCAATATCTTCAGGAACGAAGAAAAAAGTATGGAAAGCTGATTTGCCGGACTGAAGGATCGACAGACGGACAGATGAACAGACGGAGTGACTACCTAAAGTCCACTTCGACTTCGTCAGTAGGGGACTAAAAATGGGACCAAATATTAAAAATCTAAATACACGGTTAGATTTGGCATAACAAAGAACCCCATTAATTCAAATTTTGTTGAAATCAAACAAAGTTTAATTTTGGAACCTTTTGACCTCAATATGAACCAATTTGATAGCATGGACAACAAATAAAAAATCTAAATACATGGTTAGATTCAGCATATCAAAGAACCCCATATATTCATTTTTTTGTTGAAATCAAACAAAGTTTAATTTTGGACCCATATTTGGACCAACTTGAAAACTGGGCCCAAAATCAAAAATTTAAATACATGTTTAGATTCAGCATATCAAAGAACCCCATATATTCATTTTTTGTTGAAATCAAATTAAGTTTAATTTTGGACCTATGATTCATCACCCCAAACTCAATCCCAGCCTTCCCTTTGTGGTATGGTACCTTGCAGTACAATTTCAGAGAGATCCATACACTTGAACACAAGTTATTGTCTGGAAACTAGAAAAATGCTTGGTTTTTTTTGCCCCTTTTTGGCCCCAAATTCCTAAACCTTTAAGGTAATTACCCCCAAAATCAATCCCACAATTTCATAAAGATCCTGAAACTAGAAAAATGCTTGTTTTTGCCCCTTTTTGGCCCCTAATTCCTAAAATTTTAAGGCAATTACTACCAAAATCAATCCCAGCCTTCCCTCTGTGGTATGGTACCTTGCAGTACAATTTCAGAGAGATCCATAAACTTGAACACAAGTTATTGTCTGGAAACTAGAAAAAATGCTTATTTTTGGCCCCTTATTCCTAAACGTTTTGGGCAATTACCCCCAAACTCAATTCCAGCTTTCCCTTTTTGATATGGAACCTTGTAGTACAATTTCAGAAAGATCCATACACTTACACAGAAGATATTGTCATGAAACTAGAAAAATGCTTGTTTTTGCCCCTTTTTTGGCCCCTAATTCCTAAAATTTTGAGGCAATTATCCCCAAAATCAATCCAGCATTCCTTTGTGATATGGAACCTTGTGGTACAATGTCAGAGAGATCCATACACTAACACACAAGTTATTGTCTGGGAGTTACAAAAATGCTTTTTTTTTTGCCCCTTTTTGGCCCCTAATTCCTTAACTCTTGGTACCATAACCCCCAAAATCAATCCCAACCTTCCTTTTGTGGTATTGAACCTTAAGATTAAATTTCATTGAGATCCATTGACTTAATGGCCCCTAATTCCTTAACTCTTGGTACCATAACCCCCAAAATCAATCCCAACCTTCCTTTTGTGGTATTGAACCTTAAGATTAAATTTCATTGAGATCCATTGACTTAAACTAAAGTTATTGTGCGAAAACCAATGTGTCTTCGGACGACGAAGACGCCACAGACAACGAAATTTTTTTGCGGCCGTATGAAAACGGAAAAATTCATAGCAGTACGTAACATAACTTTTAAACAACATTATTTAAAGGTTTTAAAGAAATGATTTTTTTTTTGGCAGTATATAATGCAGTATCTTAAAATCATATCTGTCCTGCCATGTGATGTTTATTTGCGGGTGGCATCATCAGATTTTTTTTAATCTATGCAACCAAACGAATGGTTGAGTCAGAGGAGACAGCTTTTGTTAAAGATAACAGACAATTGACGACGAAAGACACCAACTGATGTAAATAGCCACGTGAGCTGAAAACAGAATACCATTGCCAAATAGAATAAACTGTACAGGGCTTCAAAAGTCTCCACGCTGAAATGCTCTGATAGTAATGCGACTTCTTATAAAATATCATTGATTTATCTCAAGTAGATCCTATCAAACTAACTTTTGCAGAAAACTTCACATTTAAAATAGCTTATTAATTCAAAGTCACTGGACCATGTCCTAGGGGGCAGGGTCTTAAGATAGTCACCAAACTGATATGTACTGATTGTAATGCTAATGCAACTTCATACAAAATATCATTGATCTATCACAAGTTGATCCTATCAAACTAACTTAAGCAGAAAACTTAACATTGAAAATTGCATTTTAATTCAAAGTCACTGGACCATGTCCTAGGGGGGAGGGCCTCAATACAGTGGTCAAACTGATATGTACTGATAGTAATGCTACTTTATATTGAATATCAATGATCTATCACAAGTAGTTCCTATCACACTACAATTGTTGACGCCGTCGCCGAAAAAGCAATCCATTCCTCTCGCTTTCCTCGACTTTGTCGTGAATGAGACAAAAACGACAACATAAAAAAAACTAGAGGCTCTAAAGAGCCTGTGTCGCTCACCTTGGTCTATGTGCATATTAAACAAAGGACACAGATGGATTCATGACAAAATTGTGTTTTGGTGATGGTGATGTGTTTGTAGATCTTACTTTACTGAACATTCTTGCTCCTTACTATTATCTCTATCTATAATGAACTTGGCCCGGTAGATACAGTGGAAAATACTTTGTAAAAATTAACAAAAATTTACAAAATTTATGAAAATTGTAAAAAATTGACTATAAAGGGCAATAACTCCTTAAGGGGTCAATTGACAATTTTGGTCATGTTGCCTTATTTGTAGATCTAACTTTGCTGTACATTATTGCTGTTTACAGTTTATCTCTATCTATAATAATATTCAAGATAATAACCAAAAGCTGCAAAATTTTCTTAAAATTACCAATTCAGGGGCAGCAACCCAACAATGTGTTGCCTGATTGGTCTGAAAATTTCAGGGCAGATAGATCTTGACCTAATGAACAATTTTACCCCCATGTCAGATTTGCTCTAAATGCTTTGGTTTCAGAGATATGAGCCAAAAACTGCATTTTACCCTATGTACTATTTTTTTAGCCATGTCGGCCATCTTAGTTCGAGGGGGGGTCACCGGACACATTTTTTAAACTAGATACCCTAATGATGATTGTGGACAAGTTTGGTTAAATTTGTCTTAGTAGTTTCAGAGGAAAAGATTTTTGTAAAAAATTACAAAAATTTACGAAAAATGGTTAAAAATTGACTATAAAGGGCAATAACTCCTTAAGGGGTCAACTTACAATTTTGGTCATGTTGCCTAATTTGTAGATCTTACTTTGCTGAACATTATTGCTGTTTACAGTTTATCTCTATCTATAATAATATTCAAGATAATAACCAAAAACGGCAAAATTTCCTTAAAATTACCAATTCAGGGGCAGCAACCCAACAACGGGTTGCCTGATTGGTAAGAAAATTTCAGGGCAGATAGATCTTGACCTAATGAACAATTTAATACTCATCAGATTTGCTCTAAATGCTTTGGTTTCAGCGATATGAGCCAAAAACTGCATTTTACCCTATGTACTATTTTTTAGCCATGTCGGCCATCTTGGTTCACGGGCGGGGTCATCGGACACATTTTTTAAACTAGATACCCTAATGATGATTGTGGACAAGTTTGGTTAAATTTGTCTTAGTAGTTTCAGAGGAGAAGATTTTTGTAAAAGATTTTGGTCAAGTTGACTTATTTGTAGATCTTACTTTGCTGAACATTATTGCTGTTTACAGTTTATCTCTATCTATAATAATATTCAAGATGATAACCAAAAACGGCAAAATTTCCTTAAAATTACCAATTCAGGGGCAGCAACCCAACAACGGGTTGTCTGATTCATCTGAAAATTTCAGGGCAGATAGATCTTGACCTAATAAACAATTTTACCCCTTGTCAGATTTGCTCTAAATGCTTTGGTTTCAGAGATATAAGCCAAAATCTACATTTTACCCCTATGTTCTATTTTTAGCCATGGCGGCCATCTTGGTTGGTTGGCCGGGTCACCGGACACATTTTTTAAACTAGATACCCCAATGATGATTGTGGCCAAGTTTGGTCAAATTTGGCCCAGTAGTTTCAGAGGAGAAGATTTTTGTAAAAGTTTACGGACGACGGACGACGGACGACGGACGCAAAGTGATGAGAAAAGCTCACTTGACCTTTCAGGTCAGGTGAGCTAACTAGATTGAGCTATATGTACTCTACTTAAAACCATCTATCAGTAAAGCACTTTAAAATGGAATTACTTTTTTTTATTCAAAATTTGCATCAGACATAATTTCTTAATCATAAAAAAGCTTCTGACAAAATTTCATGAATTTCTATGAAGTTTTGACACAATAATGTTGTTGTCTAAACAACTTTAACACAAGACTGCTAATTAAATGTTAACTGCAATTAAGTAGGACCCTTTAATATAATTGTTTGAAAACTTTTGCTCTAGATACTGTCCTTTGATAAATCAATGACGGTTTCACCTACTTATTGGTGTCTGAAAAACTTTAATCTCAGACTGTATCTTCATGTTAACTGAACAAAAATTATTCCATTCATTAGTAAAATAGAAGAAAATGAAAACGATATTTTCAAAATTTTGCTCTGCATTCTTTTTTTTTTATCAATAGGTTTGAAAAAGTTATTGATGTTATAAAAAACGTAAACCACAGACTGCACCTAAATGTGGAGTTTAAAGAGATGACTGGATGTAAAATTGCTACGGTTGGCTTCTGTAGCAAAATGTTGCAGGCTTGATGAGAATGGTTCAAATAGGTTGAATCAATATCATCCATTAATTAGCATAATTTTATGGATATTTCATATCATAACAGTTACTGACCTTGTTAAGCAAACTCATACAAAATTTTAAAAAGCTATATTTTTCAAATATTTTATTGACAAGGTTATAGGAATGTTTACGACTAAGTATAGTATTTTATATATATCAAAAGTAATCCACAATATTTTTCTGATTTCTCAACATAGTTATATGTAAACATGATTTTTACATTTTCGGATTTCCAACTTAAATTTACACACACGTATTGACAAATTTAATCAGAGTTCTTGAAAAGCAGTCGTCCGAAGGTTTTGACCACCAAATTTTTTAAAGAACAAACAGTTTTAGTATTTTGCAATAGAAATAATAGTGAGGACCAGCAGATTTCTTCAAGAGCCACTAGGGGAAAAAGACTGCAAGAGCTCTGATTGAATTAGATAATATATTAAAAGTTAGACACAAAACAAAAGTTTAATTTGAAAATACAATTCATTCTAACAATGGGTTTAATTGTCTAACAAATTCCCGGTTTGATAGTCGAATATATTGCTAGGACAAGTTGCAGTTTGCTTTTTCTAAATTTTAAAAGCTCAACTCATTCATGCATAAAGATACTGCAGAAAGTTAACATTTTCTAATTTGATCAACCCCATACTTTCCACTGCCACTACTGCTATGGAGTGTCTGAAAATCATTACTACCCATAAGGTTCGATCACAGCCTGTTCTAATAGTAACTTGTATGATAATCATATAAAATTACTATTAAAACATTGGTTTTAGTTATCCAAAGGTGGTGTATAATTTCCTTGTTGGACATTGAAGTATGAGATATTTCTGCTCTTTAAAAAAAACGTAGCTAATATAAAAAATATCAAAAACCATAAATCAAAGAAAAATAGACCACACTCTTGGCAAAAAAAATTGTACAAGCAGATTCAATTGTTCAAAACACACTACGTTTAAATTAAGATTAGGCAGCATGAATTATAAAAAAGAAGATGTGGTAAGATTGCCAATGAGACAACTCTTCAAAAGAGACCAAATGACACATAAAAATTAATAACTAACCACCTCACTAAAAAACAGAGATGAACTCACATACTCCAGAAGGTTCAACAGTTCCTGCACCTCTAATGATTCAGAGCCTTTGTACGATTGTTTTTTTTTTCTCTTGTTTTTAATGATACAAAAAAAACTTTATCTATACTGCCTTATTTCTGAAAAGCATAACTGATTAACAAACAAATCTTGTCAATGAAACAAAATGATGTCATGGTCTAAAGACATGTCTAATACACTCTTTTATCAGGAATTTGCACTTTTTCCCTTTGATCTAACTGACTAATATTTTTAAGATCATGGGCAGGACTTGTTACTTGAAAATATTAGTCAATGATGTCATGTAACAGCGCAGCAACTTCACATGCTCAAGTCCATCTGTGTCCATTTATGAATGAAATGCATGCAACTTCATTTATGCAACCGAACAACTATCCAAATGTTTTGTACACATAAAAGTAGTTATAAAAATAAGGAGATGAGGTATGATTGCCAATGAGACAACTATCCACCAAAGTTCAAATAAAGTGGATGTAAGCAATTATAGGCAACCATACGGCCTTCAACAATGAGAAAAACCAATACCATATAGTTGACTATAAAAGGCCCTGGCATGAAAAATATGAAACAATTCAATAAAGACAACCAAAGGCCTAATTTGTAACAAAACAAATAAGACAGACATGAAACAACAACAACCACTGAACTACAGGCTCCTGACTTGGGGACAGGCACATAAAAAATGGGGTGGGGATAAACATGTTTGTGAGCGCTCAATTTAATATTTCATTTAACTTCATATTTTCAACCAAAAACAACATACAGCTAAGTTAAATTACAGAATAATGGCATTTTATGTTTTGATATTGACTTCATCATCTTGAATATCAGCTCGCCCTATTGTTCTTGCTGATAAAGTCAGTATCAAAAGTGAAAATGCCATTATTCTGTATATACTCTAAATACTTCACACAATAAATCCAAGTACTGTATATTAAGAAATTTGTGTATTCATTCTTGTTTTTGTACAACAATGGACAAACAACACAAGGAATTGCTGCATACAAATAATGCTTTTAAAATTTAAAATATGAGTTTTCGTTTTAGTGAAACCTAACTCATGGCAGTTTTCGCATAAATAAACATTGCAAAAATTTGATAGTACCAAACTTGCTGACTTATTATCTTGATGAAATTCTGATGATTTATATTACCTAGATACTAGAATGTTATTAAGTGATCATGGTAATTAGGTATACACTCATTACAATACATCAACATACCAAATATTATTGACCTATATCATATAATTAATATGTACATGAAAATTTAATCTGAGTTTTTTAATACAAAATTAGAAAATTTTGTACACTCTGTTAACCTGGTAATTCATTAATGAAATGTTGTTTATGAAAAAATTGTCACTTGCAATAAATTATATTTACAAAAAGCACCCTTGCTTCAACAAATATACATTTCTTTTCTAGGATAATTCATTACTGTGGATTCATTCATTTTCATAGGTTCCAATTTTCGTGGATTGTAGAAAAATTGTATTTTCGTTTTTCGTGTATATTTGATTTCATGGATTTGCCAAAGTCAGCATACAAGACTATAGAAAATTTGTACTCCCTCGAACATTCGTTCAAATTTTTGGTTCACATATACCCTTGAAATCTATGAAAACTGGTACCCCATGAATCCACAGTAGTTAAAAAATCAAGTACAAGTTAACTGAAAACATAATGACATATCAAAAGAAAATTCAAATGTTTTAAACAATCACAACATTAACAAAATTGGTCCCCAATAAATCAAATAACTTACACAGTAATCAATACCATTAAACACAGCAAAAGTACAGTATTGCTGTGTGTTTGTTTATTCCACATTGGCTAGATGTATAGGGAGAGGGTTGAGATCTCACAAAACATGTTTAACCCAGCCGCATTTTTGCGCCTGTCCCAAGTCAGAAACCGCTTGCCTTTGTTAGTCTTGTATGTTTTTTAATTTTGGTTCATCTATATGTTTCGGAGTTTAGTGTGATGTCCATTTTTGCTGAACTAGAATACATTATTGTTGAGGGGCCAGCTGAAGCCCGCCTCCAGTAAGGATTTTTTCGCTGTGTTGAAGACCCATTGGTGGCCTTGGGCTGTTTTCTGATTTTTGGTCAGGTTTTTGTCTCTTTGACACATTCCCCATTTCCATTCTCAATTTTAAAAATAAAATAAATGATCATCGAAATATATAGTTTGATATTAATATAGTTCATATAAAATTAAAAGACAGCTTTTTCCTGCAAAATCTTATTCATCAAATGCTTGTTTCTCAAAAAGCTAGCACAAGGACCTAAACATTTTCAACAGGTCTCTCTGGGGGGGGGGGTCTGATCCCAGATCCCGCTGATTGTTTTGTCATTTTCCTGTATCCCGTTTACCACTGTAATAATAACGCTTGTAATTTCACCTGTCCCGCCTGACTTTGTTCCCCGTTTTCAAGCACAATAATTTGACTTTCACGTGTCCGGCTTACAAAAAATCGCCCGATCACACGTCATGCTTAGACCCCAATAAGATCCACTTTTCTAAAAGGTCATAATTTATGGTAATGTTGTTATAATAAACTTCAGCATCAAAGATCCATAATACTGTGGCTTCATTTTATTAGTTGGGGTTCTTATTTTCTTGAATTTCACTTTTCTATATAAAACAAATTTCCTAAAGACTTGTAAACAGAATTTGTCAAAACCACTAAACAAGAGTTCATGAAGTACAGACATGATAATTGGTACCCATGAAAAAAAAGTAAAATAACAAAAAAACTGAACTCCAAGGAAAATTCAAAACAGAAAGTCCCTTATCAAATGGCAAAATCAAAAGCTCCAAACACATCAAACAAAGGGAAAACAACTGTCATATTCCTTACTTGGTACAGGCATAATAAAGGAAAATAAAGGAATCTGTAGTATTACATCATAGTAACAAGGAATGAACAATTAAAATTATTCCGAACTATATATTACATAGGAAAACATTTTTAAACTGACAACAAGAAATAATTATAATATATTACAATAATATACGTTTAACCATAATAACATCAATTTTTGTTAAAATTTCATTTTCATTATGGAAAATTCACAATATTTGGAATTTATGTCATGTTTATGTAAAATTCAATAATCATAGTAATACTATCTATCAGATTATTACATTGCATTTTCATATCAGATGTATTATCAGCCCAAGGTTCAATATCAGACCTAGAGCCGAAGGCTCGAGGGCTGATATTGACCAAGGTCTGATAATACATCTGATATGAAAAATGACATGTTATTATCTTTTTATCATATGCTTCAACAATAAAGAAAAATAACAATTTAATATACTCATCCTTTTTAAGTGGTTCTCAAGTTGAAGTTCAAAAGTGAAAAGTTTACAGACGTCGGACGGCAAATGTAATACATCCGATATGAAATCTTTCTATCAAATGCCTCAACAGAGGAGAAAAACAGTATAATATATTTTTATATTGATGATAAAAAAAAAACCAACAAAACATAATGAACACTGTTTGGAAAAGTCAACATTTGTAAAGTAACTTGCTAAATTATGCTGGAAACTTTGAAGAATGCATTTATTGTATCATTTGGTTTTTTTTTTGCATTTTACGTAATATATTTTCCTGTTTCCTAAAAATTGTTTTGTACACTCCTTTGTTATGTTTTTCACTGACAACTTACCATTAAGGTGTATTTCCGGAATTTGCCGAGTAATGCCTGAATGCCATGCGATAACGTAACTGAAAGGCTTGTGATAATATTTGGAAGAATGTGATAAATTTTTCATATCAGCCTGCTAAACACCATTTCGGAAAATATGGAATTCACGTAAATTTAATGCTATTATTATACAGTAAAAATTTAAAAGTTATCTACTCTAAGTATATGATAAAAATGTATATCAAGGTCCACTATATATGTTTCCATTGTACTTATTGCACCAATGTATTTATTGCACAGACACATTTTATACATATCTCAACCAATATACATCCACAGCCAAACAATATAAATATCACAGTCACATAAGGCACAATGTAAGTATAGTTGCCATGGTTCCACAATTCTGAAAAAGTGGAAATATTCAATTAAGTACTGTGTATTCATATATTTTGATATCATTTTTGTGGTTGGAAAAGCTGATTTACATATAAACTTTACCAGTTAAATGAGGCAAAAGTTGTAAAGTCTATAGACAACAAGGAATTATTTGAATCTGGAATAATTTTGAATTCTGGAAAATTGATTAGAATTGTATAATGAAAACTAACCCAACTAAATAGGGTTAGCCATGTCTGCATGGCTAAGGTTCAGGTTACTTTCACTAATAGTTCAGTATGAACTAACTTATTCCCGTTAATGCCATGCAGGCATGGCTAACCCTCTTAAATTGGGTTAGTATTCATCAAACATTTCTCTTCAATTTTTCAGATTTCAAATAATTCCTTGTTTGATTGAAAACATCAAATCATCTAAATTGCCTGCTGTAAAAAAACAAGAACTAAGGCACAACAATAAAAGTGTAACCATATCCTTATTCCAGATAATTTTAATATATTTTTGTTAAATTAATCAACTAAACTTGATTCTGACTTTTGACTTTTACTCAGCATCTCTTGAGGAGGTGAGCTGCTGATTATGTAAATTTGAGGGGGTAAGAAAAAATATTTGGTGTGCAGATGTATTAGCATTTGCAATTGGAGATCATATGGGCTCAACCCTGCAGTCATGATTTATTTCAAACTAACCTTGTCACAAAGTTTAACATCTAAACTTAGCAAATGTTTCAAAATGTCAATAGAAAATTATTTTGTAAGGATTTTACATGGAAAAAAAATCTTTTGTAAGAATATAAAGAAACTAAAGAATAGAATTTCAAAATAAATATATTTTTTTTCCACACATTTTCAAAATTTCAAAATTTATTTTTTAAATTCATTTTGAATAAAAGTTTTATTTCCACATCAGTGACCTCCCCAGGCTGTTTAAGTGTCGCAGCACCGCGACGCTATAATTTTTTTCCGTGACGCTATAATAATATGCATGATTATTTTGAGGATGCATTTTTTTCCTGTCTCTATACATTGCCGCAAAATAGATTTCCTAATTTTTGAACTTTCATCTAATTACCGCTTGTGATCATAAAAAATATATCACATTTAATTGTAATCCCTTCAAGTCGGACAATAGAGGCAATTAAGAGTGATTAAATAGGTGTTAATTGCCCTTTGGGCGATAACTGATTGGATACAAATATCCCAAGCTGACACTTTTGGCATGACTAATAACACGTGGTCCAATCGTAAATTTTGACATCGAGAAAATGGAATCAGAAAATCATAAACAATTCGAAATCTACGTTTTCATCATGGCATAACCATCTCCTAAGATAAGAAAAAACCTACGTGGGGTACCTCGATGTTAACAAAATGGCTGACCAAACGCAATTTTTTTCATGTCGATTACACAGCAATTTTTCATTTATAAGTAAAGAAATTCACAATTTATTTCTTTAGAAAAGAGGTGAAAGCACTGACTTTACAGATTGGTCTTATGTTATTTCAAACTAACAACTTTTAAAGAAGTATTTTCTTTCCCTTCCAGTACTTGTTACTCGAGAGCGTACATTAAACATTTTGATTTTCGGCAAAATAAGATACTTCATTAGAATTAGACCTCCATTGAAATATTTGTACAAACTATGGATCGGATGCGGGATTCATCGATGCGGACCAGCTATGACCAAAATCCGCATTTTTATGATAATAACTACAGACGCACAAATGGCACAGCTGACAGAATAATAATGATCCCAAAAGGGAAAACTACGCATTCCACACACATTAACAGACTATTTGTTAGATTTCCTAGCTAAATGTATTTATTTCTATGTAAATGCATTGTTTCAATTTACTGATTAAATTAGCTTAACTTTGCTAAATATATACATCTTTTTGATAAGAAACAACTGGGACTAATACATTGAGTCCCAGGAAACAATGAATTTCATAAACATGATACACAGAATAGTTTTTTAATTGAAATTTTATACTACATGATACTTTCTTTTTCTTTTTGATATAAAAAAAGTTCTTTTTTGTACTAGATATTTAGTAAATAGTTTCTGACAAGAGGAAAAATATAATTCTGTAACTATAAATGAATATTGAAGACATAAACTGAAACAACTGTTATACTTTAATTGTATTCTCAGTTATGAATTGAACAATATAAACATTACTTAATGGGAAATAGAGCATCGCCGTGACACGACAAATGACATTGAAAAAAAATACAATTTTTTTTACGCCAAATGTGATGCTATCTGGGGAGAACACTGCACATTTCAATTATTTTTTTAATCCTAACAACAACAAAAAAAGTCAAAATTTGTGAATTTCAAACAAAAACTAAGTTCTCTGACTATTGGTACTCCACTGAACAAGACAGAAACACTGTGACCATGCTGATCTCCCAAACTTTACCTCAAAAAGTCTGGTACCCTTTTCTGACTGATTTGTTGCTACTCCACTCAACAAGACATACACACTATATCCCTGCTGATCACCCAAACCTTACCTCAAAAAGTCTGGTATCCTTCTCTGACTGCCTTGTTGCTACTCAACAAGACAGAATCACTGTGTCCCTGCAGATCCCCCAAACCTTACCTCAAATAGTCTGGTACCCTTCTCTGACTGCCTTGTTGCTACTCCACTCATCAAGGCAGAGACACTGTGTCCCTATTGATGTCCCAAACCTTACCTCAAATAGTCTGGTACCCTTTTCTGACTGCCTTGTTGCTACTCCACTCAACAAGACAGATACACTGTATCCCTGCTAATCTCCCAATCCTTACCTCAGATAGTCTGGTACCTTTCTCTGACTGCCTTGTTGCTATGCTACTCAACAAGACAGAATCACTGTGTCCCTGCTTATCTTCAAAACCTTACCTCAAATATTCTGGTATCCTTCTATGAATGCCTTGTAGCTACTCCACTCAACAAGACAGAAACACTGTGTCCCTCCTGATATCACCAACCTTACCTCTAATAGTCTGATACCCTTCTCTGAACGCCTTGTTGCTACTCCACTAAACAAGACAGAAACACTGTGTCCCTGTTTATCTCCTAAACCTTACCTCAAATAGTCTGGTACCCTTCTCTGACTGCCTTATTGCTACCCCACTCAACAAGACAGAAACAATAAGTCCCTACAGTTCCTAAGACTACTAGAATTAATAACTGCCACTGTAGTATGAGGTAGTCACTGTAGAAAAAGCCAGCAGCTGCTGCTATTGACTGAAAAAATAAATTAATTTCATTTAGTTTCATCATTACTCTAAACCAACTTATTTTCACGGATACTTTATTACACGTTAAGTCCTCTCATGCCCATTTCACGGCAATTTAATTTTGCGATTTTCAAATTTACTTGATGTAGTGTTATAAGGAAAGATCCAAGTTTTACAAGTTAGCGACGATTTATATTCGCGTTATTTTTCTACTGGCAAAAGTCGTGAAAATTAGTTGGTTAACAGTATTTGTTTTAAAAATACTAATTTTTTTAGGTTTTCTTGGGTACAGGTGAACCACAAATTTAAATCTTCAATAATTACAAATTTTATAAATTTTACAAGGTTGTAAGCAGACTTAAGCAAAAGCAAGAAATCACATATCCATGAAAAGGCAAGTTTTCCGTAACCCATGAATAATTGGTACCCAGATTGTTTTCATGGATTTTGTATAACTACATCATAAAAGTAAACTTTGGAAAAGTTTCTGCATGTTTAATGCAGATGAAATATATGGATTTTTTTGTTAAAGAAAAAACAGGATCCTGTATTTATAGCCTTATGATCTTGAATATGCCATCATATACATCAAATGCCAATGAATAATTGTTTTCAATTCTTTATATAATTTCATTCTTACATCACAGATGTAGATTGACCAATCAGATAATTTGATTAAGTTTATCTATTCAAATAGCAGAGTTGAAGCAGTGACAAATTCTCAGGTTTTACAATATATTAAATAGCACAAATTAAAAAAAATCAATTCGATTTTTTGTTGAATCAATAAGTTTTAAAGATCAATTTTGCAATTTTCCTGATCATATTAGTATAAATGGGTAAAAAATGTTAAAACCATTTTTTTTTTTTAAATCATATTTAAAAATTTTAAATTCATATACAGTTTGAGGTAAAACCCAGAGAATCTGACCAAAATTTAAAAAGCCAGGATGTTTGTAAATATGTATGTCTGAAAATTTCTCATGCTTATCCCTATCAAAATCAAAGAAGATCTCAAGTTAAATTTAGAATACCTTTGAAATTTTACAGTGTACTGTAAATTCAAAAATTATTACAAGGTCTTCATCATTGCGAATAATGCAACTGGGTGAGTATTGCAATAATAAGAACACACATTCTGATATCTGATACACATATCTGTATGCATTTTTCCAGAAATTGCAATAATTAATCTAGCATTTATGTCCATTCTTTAAAAATCAAAATAATTTCTGAATTTGAGGTATTAATGTTGCAAGTTGAAAAACTTACTTGTACAAATTTAAATAAGGCAAAAGCAGGAGAGCTGTCTTCTGGAAACATGAAGCCAAGTATGGAATAAAGCTAAAAAGGAAATGTGAAAAGTGTTAAATGCAATGGATTGGTTTTGACATTTCAGAGAATTGTGGGATGAATCTTAGGGACCATCTCAAAATACTATCTAATCAAATAAATAGGTTATATCTAGTGTTTGTTTGATATTAAAACTGTGTCAAACTATTGATACTGAAATATATCCATATCTACTTTTGTTTATCTTTCATCAAAGTAGGTCAGGATAGGGCTTTAAAAACATATTCATTTGGGAAATTTAATATTTTGAAATGGCCCTTACAATGCATATTGTTAAGCTCAGCCTTCATGTGTGAAAATTGTAACTTACTTGAATAAAATAAAATAATGCAAAAGGTGGTGAACTGTCTTCCGAATACTTAAACATTAATAAAGAAAATATCTAAAATAGAGAAGTGATTTGGTTCTGAGCAGAACATGATATCAATTTATCTTAATAAAATCTCAAACACATTGAAAAATAGAAAAATTTAGAACTCAATCTTAGTTATCAATAAAAGGACATTTGGGGCATACTCAGATGAGACCTGTTAACATAAAGAATGAAAAGATGTTAAGAGGGAAGCATTCCTGCTATTACTACATAAAGTTATTTTTAGAACTCTGTGTTACAGTAATGGCAGATCTTTGATACATTTTGATGATTTAATTTATATTCACATCTTATAGAGAATCATGAATATCTAGAGCTTGACATATTGGAACTTTTCCTCTCAATGTGATTTCACTATGACAAATTATTCATCCTGTTTTAAAAACAATAAAAGGGAGGATTTCAGCTTTCTAATTGAGAGCATTCTATTTCTTTGAAGCAAACATTTGATCAGTGCATGCATATGGAGTATTTATGTCTCAGTTGATACATTATTTTACATCTTGTATTTTCTATCATGATTTCTTTGATAGAAGATTGCCGCTTACAAGGAAGCTATCAAATCATGGGTTCTACGTGGAAAATGTGAAGGCATCCTTTATAATGTTTTACAGATGCCTTCATGAGCTAGTTGACCCTGATGCATGAATTTAAAATTGTTGCTACTGAGCTTTAAGTTAGCAACAAGCATACAATCTAAGTTTTGATCTACCGGTATTATAGCTGCTAAACCGTAGCTCTTAGGTCCTTATGATATTTTTTGACTATTTGCGGACCATAGAGCTACCGATTTTTCCTATTTCAAAACGTTCTGAATTGCGACCCAGGTTCAGGTTACACTTATTTCCCAAAAATGTATTGTTTATCGTCAGTGCATAGCTTGTCAATGTATATATTTCGTTTTGTTAGATATTTTTCTAGGATATGACTTAGTCAAAAAATATCATAAGGACCTAAATGCTACGGTTCTGCAGCTACCAGTATTAGTAACCACAACATAAAATTTACCAGTTCTAAAAATTATTGTTTGGCTTTAAGTATGATTAAATGATTCACCAACAAGAATGTGTCCATAGTACATGGATGCTCCACTCACACTATTATTTTCTATGTTTAGTGGACTGTGAAATTGGGGTCAAAACTAAATTAAAATTACAAAGATCATATCATAGGGAACATGTGTTCTAAGTTTCAAGTTGACTGGACTTCAACTTCATAAATAAATTGCTTCTCCAAGCGCAGCTGGATACGACCGCAGAGGTCCAACCCTGAACAGTTGGGGCAAAAATGGACACAATATTCGCACTTGATACAGGTCTGAATTTGGATTGTAATTAAATATTTGACACATAATAGGTTTCTGACACAGATAGAATAACTATAGTCAAAGAACTTGAATTCGTTATGTGATTTGAATTTATATTCATTTTTTTGCTTTTGTGCAATACACTATGCTGTTGTGAATGGACCCCCCTCCCCTCAAATTTTTACTCCCCCCCTTTTTTTTGCAAAAATAAAATAATATTTTAAGAAATTTTCTTTTTAATTTCTGAAATCTTGAGAACAAATTGTCCCCCCCCCCCATTTTTTTTTTACCTCCCCTCCCTTTTCCCCCAAAAAATTCTTTCCCTCAAGATATGGTCATAATCTCAATTCAAATTTCCAATGGCAACCATAATAACCCATTTAAATACATCATAAAAGTCTTAAAACAGAAAATGACATACATAATCATGGCTAAAATTAAATTACCTTTATCAGCATTTTTAAAATAGTAACTTCTAAAAATAAATTGACAGCTAATCAGCTCAAGACAATACAACATTTCTTTAAACATAATTTAAAAGCAGTGTAAGGGAGGTACTTCAAACACAATGTTGTCAATGTTGTGTTTAAATACTCCCTTACACTGCTTTTAAATTATGTTTTGTACTTAAATAATTGTCCATTAACCTGGAAACCCTTGTTTCCCCCCTTTGCCCCTAATTCCTAAACGGTTTGAGCCATAACCCCCCAAAGCCAATTCTTACCATCCCTTTGTTATATGGAAACTTGTGGTATAATTTCAGAGAGATCCATACACCATTCCACAAGTTATTGTCTGGAAACTAGAAAAATGCTTATTTGGGCCCCTTTTTGGCCCCTAATTCCTAAACTGATGGGATCATAACCCCCCAAATCAATCCTAACCTTCCTTTTGTGGTCATAAACCTTGTGTTTAAATTTCATAGATTTCTATTTACTTATACTAAAGTTATTGTCCGGAAACCAAATGTCTTCGGATGACGAGGACGATGATGACAACAACGATGTGATACCAATATACGACCACAAAATTTTTGCAGTCGTATAAAAATTACCTTGACCAAAATCTTTAACCTGAAGTAGGACAGACAGTTGACGGACAGACAAATGGACGCACTGACCAGAAAACATAATGCCCCATAAATGGGGCAAAAAAAAGTCCTACTCAGAAATGTTTTTATTTTTAATACTCTAAGATTATATTAATTGCTATTAAATGTTTAAGTTCTTACCTGGGTATTAAAACTACTGTCTCCAAAACCCAGTAGAAATGAACACAAAATGGCAATATATTTACTGAAATAAAACATGATATAGTAAAATAAAATAAACTTTGCCATTTATTTACTTTTTACATGTTAAGTTATGTAAATGAGATGCAGACTGATTAAGCAAATGAAATCACTTAAAAGAAGAATGGATGAAGAAAAAAATTATGTGAAATTGCTAAGTATTGATAAGTTCAAATGAATTTAAAGCAATTTAAAGAAGTTTTAATTATTCTTTTAAAATTTTCCAAGTCAGAAATTATTACACTTCAATAGCTTAAAACTGTCTGAAGTTATTTCAAACATGATTATAAACTGTTCTCAATGAAAAATTAAGAATGTTTAACTCTGCAACATTCTTTACGTGCCTGTCCCACATCAGGAGCCTGTAATTCAGTGGTTGTCATTTGTTACTGTTTATCATATTTGTTTTTCATTTCTTGTTTTTTACATTCAAATCAGTAATTAGGTTTATTTTAGCTTGAATTATTCTACATTTGTAATTTTAGGGCCTTTATTTCATAAACTTACTTTGATACTAAATATGTAGCTTCATTTGATAACTTTAATGGCGATTCACTAGGAAGGTTTATAAATATCAGAAAAAAGGCGGCCATGTGTAGAATATATCCTAATACCACTATTGGATCTCTACCATGTCTGTTTGTCCTTTTTCCAAATAAACCAAATATACCTCCACCTGAAAAAAAACCAAATATTTTATTATAAATTTGTCAGATTATCTCCCCTGCCATTTTGTTATAAAAATATGTGTACCCTTGATGCCAAGCTATAGATTTCAGTAGCCAGGTTTTGCATCAGAATTCTGACACAAATGTTTACAAAACATCTAGTGTTCAGCTTCGCAGAAATTCTGATTTAACCAAAGGTCCAAATTTAACAATATTGTATTGTTTCTATTTTGTATTATCATATTGTCCAGCATTAAATGATGGCTTTTTTTAGGAAGATGTGGTATGAGTGCCAATGAGACAACTCTCCATCCAAGTTACAATTTATAAAAGTAAACCATTATAGGTCAAGGTACGGCCTTCAACACGGACCATTGGCTCACACAGAACAGCAAGCTATAAAGGGCCGTATGGTGGTGGTGGTGTTTTTTTCTATTCTGGTCTTTTTTTTTTAGGTGGGGGAGGGGATTGAAGGAGGCATCCAATGTATAAAATATATGGGTATGAGGATTCAATACTCTCACGAGACATATATATATACATACTCACCTAGAATTTCTCCAGCACCAATAAACATGCCTGAAATTCCCAGCAGGCCTTTCGCTTCATCTCCAAAATGAGCATTGTTTGATATACATGTTCCATAGACACCACTAAAAAATGTCAACTCTATTCCTAAAAGAAGATAAAAGTGTTAACTTTCCCTTCACTAATTTTCATGGACAATATAGTGCATCATGTCCTATTTACACACATACTGGTTTTAAGTTATACAATTTAAAAGTCAATACTTCAAACAGTATCTTTTTACAATAGTTAGTTTCAAATTTTAAAAGGGGTTTAGGATGTATGTTTTTGTCTAGCCTTCACATTTTTCTGTTTTTGTCTGGCCTTCATATTTTTCTGTTTCTGTCTAGCCTTCATATTTTTCTGTTTTTGTCTAGCCTTCATATTTTTCTGTTTTTGTCTAGCCTTCATATTTTTCTGTTTTTGTCTAGCCTTCACATTTTTCCTGTTTTTCATGTTAAATTTTAGATCGGCATATCATTTTCTCATTAAAAAGGGGAATTTGTAATGGCTGCCCAGTTTTAAATAGACAATATCTACGTCAACTCTTTATACTAACCTGTGTAAGCTATTGCTACACTTAGCAATAACATTTCCCTGGTCTTTAATAAGTGAAATGATCTGACTGCAAAAGAACGGACAAAAATCAATAAAATTAGTGACCAATCATTAACTGAGTAGGGAATCAATTAAGGCTATTAATTTTTAAATATAGGCACTCAAAGATTGAAGAATTCAACCTAAAGACATCAAGTCAAACTATATTCCATAGTGACAGCCATCTTGGATGTTTGTTAGTCACAAATATAGGCACTCATGGACTGCACCATACAACCTACAGACACCAAGTCAAACTATATTCAACAATGACAGTCATCTCAGACGTCTGTCAGTCATAAATACACTTTCAGTTATGTTGTTTAATGTTGTGTCATAACAGTTTTTAATTAGAAGGTTGATTCACAGTTTACAAAATATTGTAGGGTTTCTAAAAATATATACTATAATTGCTTAGGGCTATTCCATTAAAATGTATGTGGGAAGTTAGGTAGGGACTTTCAAAATATCCCTACAACCAAGAACCATTTTTAGATAATTTTGCATAATGGAATAGACGCATACTGAAAAAAGACCCATGACCCACATTCAATAATTAAACTTCCCTTCCTACCCTCCCACATACATTTTAATGGAATAGCCCTTATTACCACTTCATTTTATTTCTGGAGGATAGTTGTCTCATTGGCAATCATACCACATCTCCTCATTTTTATACACTTTGCATATGCTTTTTAAATAATAATTTATTGTTATCAAATTATAATGTACATGTTGAATATACAAAAATGAAGTTCATCAGCAAATTTGGTTTTGTTAATTTAGTGTTGATTGGTGCTGTCTTATTAAAGTATATCCTGTATCTGCTTCTATTTACATTAAAAAAAATATATCTAGTAAGCAGGGATTACATAATGGGTGAATTGTCTGGACTTGACCGTTAGATTATAATGTTGACTTGTTGAGCCAAGCCTTAACTGGACATTTAACATGGGTTTTCCATTTTAACCTACCGGGTAATTCAGAAAAAAAATTGAAGTTTATTCGATCTTTTTGACCTGACATTTTTCTTGAACAGCCATGCATTACCGGTCATAAAAGTGACATGGTGAATAATTTCTATAGAACAAAACCTTCTTACTACCTCTCATTATAATTAAGGTTACTTAGTTGTCTGACAGCTGAAATTTACCTGTTCAGATGACAGGTAAGCTATTCATACTGGACATTTGATCGGTCAATTTAAGTTATTTTCATGAATTTCAGCAGTTTACATCTGTTCAAATGAGTCAAAAATACTTAGATTATCAAAAATATGTATATAAATAAGGGATGTCAACAAGTACTCGAGTACTCGAGTATCACTCGGTAGTACCGAGTATCGAATACCAAAATGATACTCGACTTATCGGTTTCCTGTTAGAATGTTGTTGCCTTTTTAAAGAAATAATATTTTTATCAAGAGTGCCTCCCAGGAAATTAAATACTAATCAAAATTGATCAAAATTAAAATACGTTTGAACTTTCGAATGCTTGCGTTTAATTGTCATTTAAAATTCCTCCGAACGTAGGTAGGCTATGAACAAAAGCACCTTTCCAAGGCTTACACTTTTAGCTAATCGTGTCTTAGTCATTCCACCACCTCTGTACCGTCAGAGCAAATATTTTCATCAGCAGGACGGTTAGTTACGTAATAAAGTTAAGAAATCGACTCGTCACAGAAAAAGTTGACAATATAATATTTCTAAACAAGAACAAATTCGTTGCAGCCTGTGTCGACCCTCAGAAAATGGTTAAAGGCATCAGTAAGTTCTAATCATCACCCCTTTGTTGATCATTAATTGTGTTTTTTTACGATTCCCCAATTCTATTGTTTGAGTAATCATTTTTCTATAGATATTTATTTATTAATTGATTAGATCATTGCCAGTTTACATAATTAGTACATGTGGTAACTAAGCTATTAGTTATGGTATAAAATTCCTTGGACTATTATCTAGTCTTGGGTAATAATGTTGATGGTTTTACGTCCATTAGACAACGTCCCACAATACGTAAAATGGGTATAATTTTGTGTTTCCATTTTGTAGATGTTTTTTTCCGAGCGAGTACTCAAGTATCACTCTGTAAATCCAACGAGTACTCAATTAGTAAATCTTCACCGAGTTGACATCCCTAATATAAATATGATTTGATGTCATTTTGAGGATAAATTTAAAAAGGTGGAAATAAAAGTTTTCAGCAAAATATCGTCAAAACCTCGTTGTTTGGACTAGTACACATGTGTGCATGTGCAAGATTTAATTAATTATACTTCCAAACTTTTAAAAAATGCTGAAATTATCATTGATACCTTTATCTAACATTCATTGTGAGTTTGGTTTTTTTGAAGTAATAACGTTGAAAGAGCTACTACATATACTTAAAATCAATTGGGCTTCAACAGTACATGGATTTTATATATCCTTCGAATTCTATGGTCCATGTTTTACCATTGCCAAGTCAACATCAAGTTTTAAGATATGTACATTTTAAAAGCTAAAGTTAAGTTTTGTCAACATAATTTTGCACCAATAAAGATTCTAAGGCAGATACTAGTACATTAATGTTGCACACTTCAAATGATGCACTGTCAATTTAACAGTTTAGGTCAGAACATTGAATTTATGTCAATCATTGTTAATATGATGTCCAACTGATTACCATGATTGTCTTTTGTTACTAAGTCTTAAAGGATTAATATCGATATAAGACAAAAATGCCTGGATTGGCTCAAATATTTTTTGGAAGCCCTGCTAGTAAGCTGTTGCAACAAAAACTTACCTATTGACTGCAGTGGGCTGTCCTTTTTAACATTCTTACTACAAAGAAAAGAGAAATAAGTAAATTTAACTAAAAATTTACAATGATTACAATAGGTATAAACTATATGGGTAATCAAATTCATTAGGGTACTAAATTCTTTCATTACCCCCTCCCACCCCCTCAATTTATTTACTCATCTATTTATTCATTAGTTGTTATTGGCTTTCAACTAGCTTTATGTAACTGTGAGTACTCTGAAATCCTTACTTAGTCTTTCTGTTAATTTTTTTTTCGGTGCTTTATGTTGATCTGATGAGTCAAGCCTTTTTCAACAGATTATTATTGTTTGTTCCAATGTTGTGCTGTTAACACCACTGTCCCAGAATAGATGAGGATTGAAAACTTGCTGACAGGTTTAACCCTGTCACATTCAGAATGTGCCTGTCCTAAGTCAGAACCTATAATTCAGTTGTTGGTTTTGGTCGTTGTCTATCATGTTTGTTTTTATTTTATTAGTTTGTACATAAATAAGTAAATAAATGATTTTTTCATTTGAAATATTTTCATTTTGTTCTGCAGCTTAATATATAGTATGGGATCTGCTCATTGTTGAAGACCATTTACTTTCCTATAGATACTTAAATCTAAGTTATTTAGTCTCTGGTGAATTGGCAATGATACCACATAAGCTTATTTTTATATTACATATTTTTATATAACATACTCTATATTTAAACTGGATTCTGTATTTAAACTAGGGTCCGACGATTCTGTAGATTTAGGAAGATTAACCAAATCATTCACATCTGAGGTCCTTTTGTTCCGTAAAAACAAGAAACACAAGGTTCCAGCGACTGCAGCTCCACTTAAAGCTGTATACAACTTAGTTCTCTCCCCTGATGTTATGTTGGCACTTCCTTTCAACACAAAATAACTGTATATGTTTCCAAATAATAAACTGAAAAATATTTTTTTTTAAATAGTATAAAGGCATATAAAAATACATGTACCTTATTACTGATTAGTGATGACACACCTGATTTTTGGGGTTGACACCTTTTTGGGTGGGTCCTGAACTTCTTCATTGAGACGCCATTTCTTATAATTCATTAGTGTAAATTGGATTTACAGAAAGTGGATTATGGTCAAATGTAGAGAATGATCATGATGATGTGGGTCTCATCGGGGTCTAAGCGTGACGCAGGATTGCCAATTTTTTGTAAGCGTGACACGTGAAAGTCAAATTATTGTGCCGTGAAATGGGAAATGAAGTCTAGCGGGACACAGGAAATTACAAAAAAATGAGAATTGCTTACATACATAGTGTAAGCGGGATACGGGAATCTGACAAAACAGTAAGCGGGATCTGGGATCAGAACCCCCCAATGAGACCCCCGATGATGGGCAAAACAAATAAAAAAAATTACAAAAAATTTGGTACATAAGTAATGAATAGAGAATAATAGGGGCTGAAATATAAAGAATAGAGAATAATAGGGGCTGAAATATAAAGAATAGAGAATAATAGGGGCTGAAATATAAAGAATAGAGATCAATAATACATACCTACATTGTAAAAGTGCCCAAAATATTCCACTGTTTCTAGCTACAGTGTCTGAGTCAGAATTAATTGTTAGGAAATTTCCCTGTGCTGTCCAAAGAACTGTAAAATACAATAGGTTTAACATTTTAAACAAGATTACATATGTGGTTGTGCTTAGTTTACACCCACTTGTAATACAAAGACTTTAAGTATCAGAAAAGAAGAAAGAAGTTGTTTCGACAGCTATACAACTAGAGGCTCTCAAGAGCCTGTGTCGCTCACCTGTATTTACTGTTGTTTTGGAAATCATGTAAAATAAGGTTAAAATCATAATTATTAATAGTATTAGATATTATAGATTATTAGATATTAGATATTATTAGATACTATAATAATATTTAAGATGATAACCAAAAACTGCAAAATTTCCTTTAAATTACCAATTCAGGGGCAGCAACCAAACAACCGGTTGACTGATTCGTCTGAAAATTTCAGGGTGGATAGATCTCAACTTGATTAACGTTTTAACCAATGTCAAATTTGCTCTATATGCTTTGGTTTCAGAGATATAAGCCAAAAACTGCATTTTATCCATATGTTCTATTTTTAGCCATGTCGGCCATCTTGGTTGGCGGGCAGGATCATCAAACACATTTATTGAACTATATACCTTAATGATGGTTGTGGCCAAGTTTTGTTAAATTTGGCAGAGTAGTTTCAGAGGAGAGGAGCCAGGTGAGCTAAAAAGCACTCACAGGTTACAACTCATCACTGTCCATCTGTGCCTAAATTGATTGATTTTGTTCAATCACTGTCCATCAGTGCCTAAATTGATTGATTTTGTTCAGTAGAACTTGAGAAAAAGCTGTTGGGTGGAATATGATAATATTAAAAATGGAAACAGGGAATGTGTCAGAGTCAACAATCTGACCAAGGAGCAGAAAACAGTCCAAGGCCACCAATGGGTTTTCAACACATCAATAAAATCTCTGTTCAAGAGACAGACTTCGATTCAGCTGGCAATATAAAATATATAACCCTTTAAATTTAATTGTATACAACTTATTTTCATATACATATATGGAATAAAACTTTCTATTTTTTTTTTACTTGAGATTTTACTCAATGATTTTGTGCAATTTTGTGTTGTGTGCATCTATGCTACCTTGTTTTCCTTGCTTTGTTACAATCATTATGAATTTAAAGCTTCCTGTTGTCATGATTATATTCTGATCTTGCATTGGCATGAATAATTGATTGTTGCCTTACAGCCAGTGTAAAATATTTCATGCATATTCTAGCATGACCAAAAATTTACAATAAATCAGAGAGGATGGTTATCTGTAATGAAGGGAGGGAAATTTGTACTGCCATTGAAATAGGGCAGAAATGGTATAAAAGACAAGTACTGTATTTAAACCTTTAGACCCTAAGGTAGTTACAGTATAGCTTGAAATCAATTTCAATTGTAAGATTTTTGTGAAAAGTTAATGCTTGTTTACCATGCAGGACAAATCCAAACAAAATCTATTTTCAGTTCAAATTAAATAATATAAAAAAGAAGATGTGGTATGATTGCCAATGAGACAACTCTCCACAAGAGACTACATGACACAGAAATTAACAACTATAGGTCACAGTACGGCCTTCAACAATGAGCAAAGCCAATACCGCACAGTCAGCTATAAAAGGCCCCGAAATGACAATGTAAAACAATTCAAACGAGAAAACAAACGGCCTAATTTATGTACAAAAAATGAACGAATAACAAATATGTAACACATAAACAAACGACAACCACTGAATTACAGGCTCCTGACTTGGGACAGACACATACATACAGAATTAAATGTGGCAAGAGTTAACCAACAGATTGGTGATACAGTGTCTAATTAATATATGATCACTTACTTGCTGCACCAAATCCAACAAGAACAGATCCCAGATACAGGGCCCATGTCATTGGCTTCAAAAATTGCAATATAAAAAGACTGGAAAATAATCATGATAATTAAACATATTTTGTTTTACATATTCATATGAAATCAGCATGATAAAATCATAAATAAATTATGTTTAATACAAAAAGGGTATGAAAAAAAAGTTATACACTGTCCACAAAAGGGACTATATTTGTAGGCAACGAATATCAAAATAAATCAAAATATGATTACAGATATGCTCCACTTGCAGTAAACCTTTTTTACGTTCTATTTACCACTATAAGTATAAACTGACATCACCAATTTTGACTTATTACTAGATTTGATTATCATTCATGAGCAACACACAGGGCCACAAGTGTAGCAACAACTGATTTGCCATCTGAATCACATTAAGTTCACCCCACTTTTTGGTTGGATTTGTTTTCCACAATTTAATTTTCAGGACACTGTTTCAATGTGTTTCCCTAAATTTTTGTTTGTCAGCCAGTACTATTAATTTTCTGCAAGATATCAGTTTTTTTTAACTTCTGATATCTTCCTTCTTTTCTAAGATTAGTTTCTTCACCAGAAAAAAAAGACCCATCATACAGGAAATATTTGTAAAATACAATGTTAAGAATACATATGATACTTACCAATACATAACAGCTCCTATTAACATTGTAATTTTTGGCCCAATAGCATCAACAACAGGTGGCGCTATCCAATTACCCAGGGAGAACACAACATAAATTATACATAAACTGAAATAAATAAGAAATATTTTTTATGGAGTGTGCTTCTTTTGGGATTTTTTGCATGGATCTTTTATGTCTACGTGTATATGAAAGTTTTATTTTGATTCAGTTCACATAATATAGTACAAACATATTAAGGGCATACGATACAGTTACAGGAGAGGTATTGACGTTGCTAACGTAAATTGTTATTTTCGCGACGTCAAACTGTGACTTATCGGGAAAAGATGCAGTTTTCGACTGATTTTTATCATTCAAACTGATTTAACTTGAAAACGAGTGCATGGACCCCTCTTTTTTAAAATGACATTTGGTTTGATTACGTATGAAGATTATGTTTACCAATTTTCATGAAAAAGTCAATAGTGCAATTTTTTTAAATTTGATAAATATACAGCAAAAAAAGACGTTTTTTTTTTCTACAATCATGATCATTTGAATAATATGAGTTATTTGTAAAAATGAAATGTACAAATTTATAGAACATTTATATAAAACAGAAATTACAAATAATTTAACAAAAAACAGCTTGTGTTTATCTTTTAAAACAAAAATGTTATGTATTTCTATCGAAAAGAAAAAAACGTCCACAAATCCGAATTTTGAGGAAATATCTGAAATCTCAACCTCAATTTACTCAAAAAGTAGCACATGATGGTATTTTTTTTATTACATATTTGATTTAATCAGGTAAAAAATAGCCTATATGCAAATTTTCATCAAAATTTCATCATGGGATCAAAACTGTATCATATGCCCTTAAGCTCTTATTATTTTTTTACTCTTTTTAATTAACTAAATGCTAAGTATTACAATGTTTTATTGATACATCATACATATTTATTAATACCCCTGTAGTCATGGTAGTGGATTGTTTCATATATAAAACATTGTAGAAAATTTTATGAAAATTACACTTATCTTGATGTTTTTTGTAAAGGTTGCAGCTCTGCAACTCATTTCACAAAAAATCTTACGAGAAAAAGTACTTGTAAGCCATTAACATTTCAGTATAACTTACGATAAATTTAAGTCGTAAGATTTTTTGTTAAAAGAGTCCATGAAGCTAATTTAAGGTAGATCAGTATAAGATGACTTACAGATCGAGTTAGCTTTTTTTCTACTTTATTGACCGTTTTCGACTCATAAGCAGATATGGGCAATTGTTTTATACAGACACATTTGGATAAGATTGAATAATGAGTTATAGGTATACAGTACAGTAAATAAGTGTGTGAGTGAGTGAATGATATGACAACCAAAAAAACACAAAAACCTCAAGACAAGTTTGTTTTCTTGTTTATTCTTAAGTCTGTCATCTGTCTTATTTATTCAAATGTGCCTCATTGTTAATTGTCTTCTTAATTTCAATTTCCTAAATCCAAAAGAGCGTTGAAAATTTTCATTAGTTGTAAGAAAAAATTAACATGGATTTGGGAGTGACATAAAACTTGTATGTACATGTGTTCCTTGCCATATATAATTGTTCTTACCTAGTGTAACCATCTCCATTAAAAGTCCCTTTTGAATCAGCTTTTGCACTGGATATAACACTTTGCTGCAAAAAGATTCATAAATAATGTTAAAATAATTGAAAGACGTGGTGTGATTCCCAATGAGCCTATTTACTGTGCATTAAAGACCAAAAGACAAAAATGTGAACAATTATGAAAAACTATGTAACAAAAGTTTTACAGACTCAATAACATGAATAATGACTTGTTTTACCATTTCATGCTTAAGGATATCTGTGTTAAAGATAACCACAAATATTTCGTGTATGTTCCAATGGAGTTGTCATAGTCACAATACTGTGCTCTTTTCCTGAACTAACTGAATTTGTAAAACAACAGGTGCCACATTTGGAGCAAGATCTTCAAACCCTTCCAGAGCAGTGGAATCAATTGCAGAATTTTTGTGACACCCAAATTTTGTTAATGCAAAGTAAAAATATATTTCAAGTTTTGTCAGGTAAATGATGATACAGAAATATTATATCTTATTATATCTCTCCCTCGTGAGATAATAGGAACCTCAATTCTATCTCCTCTTTTATGGTAGTATGAGTCAAATCAAAAGACATTTATGGTAGTTTTTTAAAAATTTTATCAAGTAAGAAAGCTTTTTGCATCAGCTTATACAAGTTATATATGAAACCAGTTGTTATTACACCAGTTGTTTTGAATATTAAGATCTAAGTTATATGAAAAATTGCTTATAAAGGCCTCAAAAATAATACATGTGAGTCTGCTAACATGCTGTTAACAATTTGGAAAGGCACATGTACATGCAGGTAGGCAAATGATTTTATTTTAACTAAAGTTTTTGACTGGTTTAAAAATGGGAAACAGTCTGACTTAATTAGTGCTTGTTCAAAAATGATGAAAAAATCTTAAGGGTAGGCATAGAAAATAAGGGTAGGTATAGTGTTAGAGGAAACACAGGTTGTTATTTTTTTCGACCTTATTTTGATTGTTCTATCTACGGACCATGTTGAATGACAGTTATATATATATTGTTTTCAATTTAGACTTGTTTATATATATATATATATATACAAAATGTATGTTGGTTTTTTAACAAGTGCAACTGCGAGCTAATGCTCACTAAGGATACACCCGGACTGGAGTTTTGAGTAAAAAAAAAGGCAGGATGAGACACTTGCAAAAAAAAAGTCAGGACGACAATTTAGGTAAAAAAAAGTCAGGATAAACTAAAAAAAAAAAAGGCAGGACCGAATAGAGTGAAAAATAAAAATGCAGGACAGAGATTACAGCTAAAAAAAAATGCAGGACAAAATTTTTCATCCTAGCCCCCCCCCCCCCATAAAAATCAAATGGTATCTCCCTAAGTACAATATAATTTATTCTGTAAGATCAATGAATTTGAAAACACATTGATTACACAGTATATAATATTAACATTAAACCTGGAAACAAATTTTCGGAAGCTCTTACTTGTAGTCCTCCAGAAAATGTGACAGAAATTTCATAGGTGGCCATTATGGGTTAGAAAATCCAAGTATTTGGTAATTAAAGAGGCAGATGATGAGGGATGAATCTGAACATGCATGACATTATAAAGCATGTTCACATAAAGCTTGATAACATGAAGCTCTGATCAAATTAAAATATGGAGGAAATTTCATGAGACAGCCAGACATACATGTAAGGATGGGCATATGGTCAAACCGGAATAAAATAGTATCCAGGCATCCTTCAGAGTAGAAGTATAAATATGCCTTCACAATGTACATGTGACAACCAGACTTGGGGTCAATTACATTGGAATGTAATTAATTGAATTACACATTACATTGCAAAAATGATCAATTACACTAATTACCATTACACAGTTTTGGCAATGTAATTAATTAAATTACAATTACTTTACCAAAGTAATTAATTAAATTACACATTACATTTTATCAGAATTGTATAAACCAATATGTTATGTACAATGTAAATATATATAACTTGTCTCAAATTTAGCCCAACAATGTTAACATCTTCTTCCCTCAGCTGAATTTGACCTCTTGATTCTTTATATATATATTGCATGAGCCAAAGCTCCGTGTTGAAGACCGTACTTTGACCTATAATGGTTTACTTTTATAAATTGTGACTTGGATGGAGAGTTGTCTCATTGGCACTCATACCACATCTTATATCTGTTGTAAGCTTATGCATGTTATGTGACAATTTGGACGTAAAGTGTTTTCATTTAATTGATAACTGGTATTTTTTGTCAGCTATTGTCTATTGTCATGATTGTCATTAAATTTCTAAACTTTTCAATTTTAACTATTGCCAAGCTAAATATATGTCAAAGGCAACAAACATCACTATGGCATCTGTTTTTTTTTTTTGCATTTGGTCAAATACCATTGAATTTCTTTAATTAAGGTAGCCAACTTAGGTTATTTTGTTCTTTAAAAATTTCAAAAGAAATATAGTTGTCATAACATTGAAAATAATTGAAGTTTAATGCTTCATATATTTGTATACATCTGCTAATTAGATAAAATACATGTAATAGTTTACATTGTCCCTAGGCTGTTTTACACACATATTAATTAGACTAATTGCCATTTGTTTTTACAGCTGATAATTTTATTTCTATAAACTTATTGTGTATATATACATACTAATTTGACAAAATTAGTGTGTGCAAGGATTTAAAACATTTATGTAAGTCACAAAGTCAAACTTCCAGATATTTTAGAAGTACATTGATGGCAATTTGCTCTAAAAGTTTCATTAGGACTTGTTGGTTTCTCATTAATTCATGTGAATTAAATATTATTTTACAATTAATATTAACATAATTTCTAATGGTTAACATCAAAAATTACATGCAGCTGTAATTGAAATGTAATTGAAAAGTAATTTAGCATTACATGCTTTTTTCAATGTAATTAATTAAATTACCATTACATGTAATTTAAAAAATGCTCAATTACACATTACATTCAATTACATGGAAAATTGTAGTGCATTACACTTAATTACAATTACATTTTCAATTACCCCATCCCTGGTGACAACAGACTTGATAACTTGGCACCTTCTGTTGTATCTAGCCATGGCCAGTCTGTCTTAAAACTTTTCTAGCTGTACTCAGAATACATTTTGTGGTGTATATTTCACAGGTATTGGGCAATATTTCATACACAGATTTTCATGAATTTTTGTCTCATTATGAAATAGTGTCCGCAGACAATATTTTGTATGAAATTTTGTCCGACGGACAAAATTTCACGGGGGACAATATTTTATGTTACATATACATATATTTTTAAAAAAATTCGTCGCGCAACTTGGCTTTTAAAAGTTCATCAAAAGGCTGTTGACTCGATACCTTGTGATGAACTTTTAAAAGCCAGCATTCGATTCGATGTGTTTTGTTTGTTTTCGTTCTATTTCGTGTGTCTGTTTGTTATTTTACGGAGTTTATAAATTCCCCAAAATATAATATTCTTACTTCAGCCATTGAGCTGGTTTGAAAAGCTGTGAAAAGTAACATGAATGCTATTCCTAGCATAACAATGTTGTACAGACGAATATCACACTCTGCCGCCATCTTGTTCAAAATATTGATGTCACATGATCTTGAAAAATGGAATCTGTAAAACACGGACAGACGTAAATCGATGAAAAGGCGTCTATAAAACATGGACCACGAAAAAGTATATTTGTCTCGTCGTAAGTGAATTCGGAACTTCAACACACTCTTTTCAGACATATAGATAAGATTCCTTAACCATTAACTCTTAGTGATATGTAAGTTTTTCAATAATGTTTTGGGAATTTCAAATTGAAGATATTTCTGTATTGAAAAAAACTTAATAACAGCTGGGACTAATCTATTATACTAGTCCCAGATAAGAGGGTCGTAATGGGGGTACCTTCATGACGGAGAACGGTAAAAAAATTCTTGCCAAAAGACGTTTACGGTAATTTTTGGTGCATGACGATAAAATGTACATGTTCTTTATGACGATAAAAAAAAATCGACTGATTTTGACGAATCATTGCAACGATTAAATTCTCTCCAAAAATTGTAACTAATTTGACGCTAACGGTAGCCGAAAATTGCAGTTTGACGCCTGACGGTAAAGGGCATTCTTCACCCTCAGAAATAGATAAAAAAAAAATAATGTTGAAAATAACTGAATATGGCAATATTTAAACATGTAAACTATGCAAACCATTCAAAGTCAATGAACCATGACTGAAGGGACAAAGCCAAATACCCTCCATGGAAATAAGAAAGGTAAATGATTATCTAACTACATGCCAAATACCATTGACTTATCATAATTCGTTCACTTTAATCAAACCTAAACACACATTTTAATTTATAATTTAAAAGTTTCAAAGTCAATGAACCATGATGAGGGGGTTGGGACCATATAATCTCCATGGAAATGAAACTTGCAAATGCCAATACATCTGCATACCAAATGCCATTCACTTATAAGTAGTTCCCTTTTTCTAAACAAAAACTTTAACATGTAAACTATGCAACACATTTGAAGTCAATAGATCATGACTGAGGGGGCAGACACAAACTTTAATTTATGATTTAAAAGTTTCAAAGTCAATGAACCATGATGAGGGGGTTGGGACCATATAATCTCCATGAAAATGAAACTTGCAAATGTCAATACATCTGCATACCAAATACCATTCACTTATTATAAGTAGTTCCCTTTTTCTAAACAAAAACTTTAACATGTAAACTATGCAACACATTTGAAGTCAATAGATCATGACTGAGGGGACAGACACCAACTTTAATTTATAATTTAAAAGTTCCAAAAGTCAATTTGAATGAACTATGATGAGGGGGTTGGAACCATATAATCTCCATGGAAATGAAACTTGCAAATGCCAATACACCTGCATACCAAATAGCATTCACTTATTATAGGTAGTTCCATTTTTCTAAACAAAAACTTTAACATGCAAACTATGCAACACATTCGAAGTCAATAGATCATTACTGAGGGGGCAGGACCAAATAATCTCCATGGATATGAAATGTGCTAATGCTTATACAACTACAAACCAAATATAATTGATCTACCACTTATAGTTCCACTTAAACTGACCTAATCACAAATAATACATGTAAACTAAGCAAAAGTTTCAAAGTCAATAGACCAAAACTGAGAGGGCAGAGTCAAATAATCTCCATGGAAACGAAATGTGCCAATGCTAATACGACTGCATACTAGAACCAAATATCATTGACCTACCTATAGTGGTACCCCATTACAAACTTACCCAATCACAAGCTAATGAATTGTTGACGCCGCCACCGACGCTGGAAACAGCACGCGCCCAATTCTCGCTTTTTTTACTTCGTCGACGCGAGACAAAAACCATGATTTGTACCCTTTGTGAAAAAGATCTATCCACTCCATTTACTTCGACTTAACCGGATGGACTCCCATGAATGTCGTTAATTCACCAGCAGCTCCCTTTCCGCCTACTGCAAACATTGGCGCAGAAGAGAGAAAGCGATCTTTTGATTCTTGCTTCGGTAAAATGCATGCATATTGTTGATCGTATAAAAAATTTCGAAAATAAGTTTATTTCAAAACGATCTACTAAAAGTCTTCTTAACTAAGAAATAATTTCAATATAAAATTTTGTGTTTGCACCCGCTGACAAAGCAGCCAACAATGTAATAGTTGTATGACGTATGTACTTTATTGAAATATTTAAAATTTATAAATCATAAATTATAAAATTTTCATATCAACAACTTGTATTGAATCAGACGATACGATCGCAGAAGGGCACCCTTAAAACAACGACTGAATTAAGGATGTTCGCTACTCGTTTCAAAATAAAAAGCTTTTCAAAAGACTGTTATAAATTGATAGTATATGAATAAAGAAACTAAAAAAGCAGAAAAAAAATTGGCGGGAAATGATTCTCTCTACAATTTTCATACCTTTAACATTGGCACCTTTTTTCTTTCAAAAACGATGAAAAAATAACAAGGATTTTATAAGATTTTCAAAGATGACATTTTAAATATATGTAATCAAATTATGGAAAGAAAAGTAGGGGTAATCGGAGAACCATATTTTAATTATATGGAGGACATATTATTATAACTCGAACCCTCTTTGATTAAAATACAGATCATGCATGTGTCGACGCTTTGCTTACAACCATTTCAATCAGATTTCTTTGTCGGGGTTTGAATTCCGAGTACGCTACCATTAGACCACCAAAGTGGCCAAGTTGTATTGAAACTTGGACCATTTAATTATGATTTTAAATTACTATATATTGCATGAGTTAACATATCTCTTCTAGTAATCTGTTCTTGTATACTCTGATTCATTATCTTTTTGTCTTTCCATATTCCGTTCTCTTCTTTTATTTTGAAACAAATATCTTTAATTTATGTATAGACATGTCTTCGGGATCTTCACAAAAGCCAAGGACTTATGTATACTAGTATTATTGTCAAAGGGAAGTTGTGACAACAATATTGAGCACAACAGTCGTACAAAAAGATGTTACTTATGTAATTTGAATAATTGTAGCGAACCATGTGCTATTCGTATACAATAAAATATTTTCTATCAACAAATTATCGACGGATAAATATTTGCAATGATTTGATATCACAACTTATGAATAGATAGTTATTTGTTTATTTTGTGTTGATAGTGGAAAGTATTTATATGAATATAACAAACCTTCACGTCCTTGGTTAAGCAAGGTTTAGATAACCGAGTTTCAAGATTAACCCCGTTTTTCAATGTATTCTATTACTATTCAGACAAGCAAAATATATTTAAGTTCTAATCTAGGCGCAATCATAGAAGCATAGTACTGGGGATTTTTGGACCAATGAACCATGTACACATTACAATCAATCTATATAGCAATTGTAATTGACCTAATATCTAAAAGTATCTTATAAATGGACCTATATATATAGCAACTATAACTATACTAGACGGGTTATGTTCTTTTCGCATATTGTATGATGGTATGATACTAAACCCCTAACGGGAGCGATTGTGCTTGATTTTCATATGATGAAGACATATAATCTTTTAATCAGTTTTGAGGTTTGGAGCTGGCATGTTACTAACTAACTCACCTCTGGGTGCGGGATTTTCTCGCTGTGTTGAAGACCCATTGGTGGCTTTGGGCTGTTTTCTGCTCTTTGTCGGGTTGTTGTCTCTTTGACACATTCCCCGTTTCCATTCTCAATTCTATTTGACCTAAGAAACATGAAAATGATGTCGAGGTCAGATGAACCCTATTAGACGGACATGTAAACATTACAATCAATCCGTTCACAAATATATTTGACATATTGCTAGTAGTGCCTGAGAAACAGACCTCACCATGAAAACTTAACGTTGTTCAATAAACCATGATAAAGAGGCCAAGGTAAGATGAACACAACAAAACGGATCAACATGTACACATTACAATCATTCCAATCACCGAATGAGGTTGACATCTTACTTATACATGTTATTGTAACTGAAATACGGACTTAATTATCATTTGTTTGCACCTGTCCTAAGTGGTTGTCGTTTGTTGATGAGGTTAGTACGTGTTTCTCGTTTCTTATATAGATTAGACCGTTGGTTTTCCTATTTGAATGGTTTTACACTAGTCAGGGGCGGATCCAGGATTTTAGGTTAGGGGGCGCAAACTTAAATTTCAAACTGAAATGTTCGCCGAGCGTAGCGAGGCGAACATTTTTTGAGGTAAAATTATCGAAATATTCTTTATTAAGCTGAGGACGACCCATGTTTTTCAAATATTAGGGGGCGCACGCCCGCCACGCCCCCGCCTGAATCCGCCCCTGTTAGTCGTTTTTGGGGCCCTTTATAGCTTGCTGTTTGGTTTCCTTTACAATTTGTGACTTGTATGGAGAGTTGTCTCATTGGCACTCATACCACATCTTCTTATATCTATTAACGTTGATCACGGATCCATAACAGTGGCGGATCCAGGGGAAAAGAGGAAGGTTCCGGGGGTGGGGCTGGAGCTCCCTTTTTTAGACGATCAATGCTTTTGAATGGGGACATATGGTTGGACCTCCCTTTTTATCCTGCGTTGTACCTTCCTTTTAAAATGGCTGGATCCGCCCCTGCATGATTATTGTCAGTTGACACACGAAGCTGTGATACTATCAATTTTAGTAGACTGGAAAACGTAAGTTTCTAGCTGGTGTAAAAAGAATATAAGGGAAAATGTGTCCTTCCTCTTTAGTTTATACATACAATTAACGAGACTCGCTTAAAGGATCTACATGATGAAGTTCTGGTTTCTTTCACATATGAGAGTAGAATGGGAATGACACGACTCTGTTGTTGATGTCCTTTGATGTAAAATAATGCCGGTTTTATTTTCAACCTAAGATAAGAGAGACAGCACGGAGATCAATAAATAGCAAGAACACAAAATAAAGGAAATTACATTGAAAATATTAAATATAATTCACTAAAACTAATCTTTAATCTGAAATTTACCCAAAGGAACTTTATTTGAATAAATATAATATCAACAGCAATAACTTTCCTTTTTACACCAGAAGCTACAGAAAAA